GAGTGTGTTTTCACACGCCTTGTTAAGGGTTAAACTTTCGTGGTGTTTTTCTTTTTATCCCCATAGGACTTTTGAGCCGGGGATATTTTGCGTTTTGGCAGAAAGCCTTTTTCATAAGCAGTGAGACTGCTTATGTTTTAGTTTATTATTACTAAGCCTTATTTTATGCCGTTTACCCACGGACACCTTATGTTAATACATCCTTTTGTTTTTACTCTAACCTCCTCGTCCTTTATCCTCACACACACCTTTACGCCTATTTTCTTGTGTTAGTCCCCTCATCATCCTAGACCTGCAGAGAGGGGGCGTAACAGTGGATCTTTTTACTTAGTGGTTTACTTTAGTATTAGTTGGCTCATATTAGTGTTAGCTCGTTGTTAATGCTAGCTACAGTGGGGCTGTTGCAGGGTTGCTTGCAACAGTTGTAATTCCACTTTCACCAACCAGTAGGGCAGAGGAGTAGGAAACTGCTCTGTGTGACTTTAAAAGTCCCAATGATAGGATTGAATTAAGTAGGGTTTAATATAAATTCTTTGTTTAGGTTTACACTTGGGAGATTTGACTCATGACAGGGAAAGCTGTTGTTGGTTTGGCGTCCAGAAAACAGCAAATAACATCTTAAATAGGGGAGGAGGACTCGGGTTTCACTTTTCCACCACCTATAATGCAGCTCTGAATCTTATTCCCAGTTTGAGTCTAGGTCACACCATCCTGCAACTAATCAATACAACTTGTATTGTTCATTGGTGTTGCCTTATCTAACTCACTGTATAGAATTATGGGGGAATGACTATAAAAGTTCATTTTAAAACACATCTTCATACTCCAAAAATGTGCAGTACGAATGATTCATAAGGTAGGATATTGTGATCACTCTTATAATATATGTATGCATTCCAAGCTCCTAAAATTCTTTGATTTGGTGGATTTTGCCACTGCTCAATTGTTATTCAAAGCCAGTATAAGTATACTTCCCAAAAAATATTCAGTTCTTCTTGCAGAGAGAAGAGAGTTACAACTTAAGAGGGGATGATAACTTTAGAGTTCAGGCTGTAAGAACCACAAGAAAATGTATGTGTATATCTATACATGGAGTTAAACTTTGGAATCGACTGGGGCAACAGCTCAAGCGATGTCAAAATAGTCATTAATTTAAAATAATATATGATAAGGAAATGGTGTTGTCAAAATATAGGACTGAAGGTGTGGGAGGGTCATGTGTAATGGTTCCAGATAACTTACTATGATAATAGCTAACTGATTATCAAGATAATAACAGAAACATTATCAGTTTCATTATAAAAATGTCATAATGATGATGATTATTATTATTAGTCATTCCGCCTTTCCATGGATCCATTGATTTCCCTATTTCCTATTCATTTTCTCTCTCTCTCTTTCCTTACATTTTTTTCTCTTTTTAAACATATTTGTAATCATTTTAAAAATCTTTATATACTTAATTTTTTTTGTTTTTGTGAAGCTCCTCATGATTTTTATCTTAGGCGCTAAATGAAAGATCATTGTCATTCTTTCTTCGTCGTCGTCTTCCTCCACTTATCCGGGTCCGGGTCGCGGGGGCAGCATCCCAACTATGGAGCTCCAGACCGTCCTCTACCCAGCCACCTCCACCAGCTCCTCCGGCAGGACCCCAAGGCGTTCCCAGACCAGATTGGAGATGTAACGTCTCCAATGTGTCCTGGGTCGACCCGGGGGCCTCCTGCCGGCAGGACATCCCCGGAACACCTCCCCAGGGAGGCGTCCAGGAGGCATCCTGACCAGATGTCCAAACCACCTCAACTGGCTCCTTTCGATCCGGAGGAGCAGCGGTTCTACTCCGAGTCCCTCCCAAATGTCCGAGCTCCTCACCCTATCTTTAAGGCTGAGCCCGGCCACCCTACGGAGGAAACTCTTTTCGGCAGCTTGTATCCGCGATCTCGTTCTTTCGGTCATTACCCAAAGCTCATGACCATAGGTGAGGATTGGGACGTAGATCAACCGATAAATCGAGAGCCTGGCTTTCTGGCTCAGCTCCCTCTTCCCCACGACAGATCGGCTCAGCGTCCGCATCACTGCAGATGCTGAACCAATCCGCCTGTCGATCTCCCGATCCCTCCTACCCTCACTCGTGAACAAGACCCCGAGATACTTAAACTCCTCCACTTGAGGTAGGACCTCTCCCCCGACCCGGAGGTGGCAAGCCACCCTTTTCTGGTCGAGAACCATGGTCTCAGATTTGGAGGTGCTGATCCTCATCCCAGCCGCTTCACACTCGGCCACGAACCTACCCAGCAAGAGCTGAAGGTCAGAGCTGGATGAGGCTAGGAGGACCACATCATCCGCAAAAAGCAGAGACGAGATTCTCCTGCCACCAAACTTGACACACTCCTCACCACGGCTGCGTCTAGAAATTCTGTCCATAAAGGTAATGAACAGAACCGGTGACAAAGGGCAACCCTGGTGGAGTCCAACCCTCCCTGGGAACAGGTCCGACTTACTACCGGCTATGTGGACCAAACTCACGCTCGTCTGGTAAAGGGACTGAATGGCTCTAAATAAAAGGCCACCCACCCCATACTCCTGGAGCGTCCCCCACAGGGTGCCCCTGGGGACACGGTCTTTCTTGTTATTGTTATTATTTCAGTTTATCATTATTATGATTGTTGTTGTTATTAGTCATTGCTGCTATTTTAATATTATTTGTTATGCAGGAAAGATTATGGGCTCTGAGATTTGCATAAAATATGTGCACATTTAACTTTGAAAGACTTGTGTGTGGCAAAGAGGTGGGGTTGAAAAAACATTGGCTTCTTCCTCTTCACTTTGACTTAAGACTTTTTTTACTATCTTCCATTTGAATATGTCTATTTGTTCACTATGCTTATTGTTTTCAAAAATCATTGTCTTAAGTTCAAAAATGTATCAATCAATCAACAACTCCCACACAATAGTGGCTAACAACTCATCAAGAGGTAGGGAGGAAGGGTGTTCATAGGTAGTTTCTGCTTGTTAAGCAACAATAAACCGCTACAGTTCATAAGCTTGGCCCTCCCATGTTCCATTCAGAATTGGCAAAAGCTCCTCGCATGAGAAGTGAAACGTCCAGTTGCCTTCAGTTAAAACCCATTTGGTTTAACCAATGTGATAAATAACAGTTGTGATTTAATAATTTTTTGTAAATCTCATACACAAGTTTTAGCTGGTGTTTTAGCCAAGAATCATTGTTTTGAGTGTGTTCATCTCTCTGAGTTTTATTTCCTATTGACTGCTTAAGCCATGATTATCAAACAAAAAACAGATTTTAATTTCATCATCCTTGTTTTTCTTACCCTTGATTCATAAAACCCCAAAAAGGTTTTCTTGGAGTCTAATTCCAAGCCACCTGTGACTAACATCTTAACTTTTATGGTAGTCTTTCATAACAGATGTTAGGAAGTGGCTGAAGGTACCAGCAGAAATCACCCAAGAGCCACAAAATCATGAAAATTTGAAAAAAAAAAAAAAAAAAAGATGATGCTAACCAAAACGTGAAAACAATTACCTATCTATGTTGCACTGGAGCCACAATGGCTCCAAAAAACTTTTGCTAAAATTATTCTGTTCATGGAACGTTTTTCATGGAATATTTGCATAAAAATGCATGTAAAAATTTATAGATCTACTGTATTTATTTGTCTCTTAATTTTAGAACTTAATAATAAAGACAAAATAGTGATAAAAAAAAGAGAATAAATCTAGAAATTTACGAAACACCAAATAATTCTATGGAGGCGTATTGCCATCAGTGTGAGGAAAAAATATAGTAGTACTTCATTATAACAAGAATGCTTCTAATTATAACATGATAGAAATATGGTTTTAACCATGACAATTCTAATTAAAATGGCATGTATATCTTGTTATTACAGTAAGGTTTTTTTGTTAAAATGAAATTCATGTCACATTATAATGAGAAACAATCTTTTAAACAATATACTGCTCCATTTATTTTCTTTGCACTGAAGCCAATATGCTTCAGGTTTCTGATTTTTATCTCAGAAAATAGTCAGAATCCTGATTTAATCCCAGATTTCTGACTTTTTTCTGAGAATTCTTACATTATCACTTCCTTTTCAATTTTCAAGAAACTCCTGAAGACCCTGCTCTTCAGAGAGCATCTTCTTAACTAGCACCCTCCCTGCACCCGTCCCCCTTCTCTACTGTGAACTCCTTTGTTCCCTCCTCTCCATGATTGATGTCAGGTTGTTGTTATTGTTGTTGTTAGCCTCAAGGGCAACATGTCGATTATCACTTGTAAGTCCCTTTGGACAAAAGCGTCTGCTAAATACATAAACATAAACATTATTCTGAGAAATCTGAAAAAAATTATAACTTTTTTAGTGGCTCTAATCCTCTTCTGTAGAATTAATCAAAAACTATAAAGTCTTTTTTCAAAAGGTCTTGTAACAGTATCAGCTCTAAACACGTTTTATTCTGGTGGACTAAACTGTACTGGATTAGACTGGAACGGCTGCACACACCTGATTTCTACAATGTTCTGATCCATTTTTTCTGTGAAAGTCAAAAATCTGAATCGTTCCTTAACTGATTTCAAACAAACTCAATGAATATATCTAGACGTATACCATGATTTTAATAAAGGTATGCAATGTGACTCCATCTGGATACTACAGAGGGGTTTTCGCTCATTCAATGAAACTTCGAACACGTGTTTTATGGGATTTTAAATATTTGTTGATAAAAAGAAAAAGTTTGAGCTGCTTCATAGAGATTATCCAACATCATTCCACTATGTGCAATATAAATCTATATATAATAAAATGTGTTGTAATAATTTCCTGCTTGCCTTAATTTTTCCAACCCATGTCCCAGTGTGTTACACCCTCCTCCTATTAAGCAAGACTCATCCAGAGCCCAACAAAAGGGATTAAACCAAGTCGGATTTCCACACACTTCTACCAGATAGACTTTTCCATTTGAGCAAAGAGGATTGGACTCACGTAGTCGTCGTATGATTCATGCGTGACTGCTAACAGTGGGGGCCTGTATCCGGCGTTGGCTGCTGCCCCCCTGGCCCTCGGAGCCTGCACGTCCCTCGTTAAAGCGGCTGTGGGAAGTTTGCTGTGTGCCGCTGTAGCTGTCCCCCGAGGAGCTGCGGCACTCCTTCCTGCACCTCTATGGCCTCTGGTAAAACAAACAAAAAACATCAGTTGAGAATTTTGCTCCGCAGCGTTTCTTAATAAGCTGCAACCGTTTTTGGTGAGAAAAAAAAGAGGAATTAAAACATCAAGCAATCTCATAAATCCCTCTTATCTTTGCATCCACGCAGTCTGCCTCAGTTAACGGCTGTTAGAAAATTGGCTTTGGGTGAAAATAAAGTTAAGGTAGATGTTTTTTTTATTTTTATTTTTTTATATATACAAATTCAAGAACTAACTAGTGCCTGCTGCCCTAAAAAAAGCTTGTTAAATGCAACATGGTTCTTTCAATAGCTATGTTTGCACAAGAAGGTGTGCCTTGGGCTGTAGGCACACAGGTAAAAATGTAATACCGCATTCAGCAGCAGCGAGGCCAGAGGACTGGGGCAGCCGTGAGGTATTTAAGGCAGAATGTTCTGACTGTCCAGCAGTAGCACCACAGGGACACTGCAGCAACTGCAGGGATGTAGCACCGTTAACTTACATTTCAAATGCCTTATGTAGGTGTGACAGGACACCTTTTCATCCCCTCAGGCACATCCTTCTCCAGGTAGCAACCCATTGTGATCCCAAAATACAAACACTCAAAGGAGAATTTCTGGTGCATATTTTTCATGGAGCTTTACAAAAATTGCTTTTCGTTACAACATAAGGAGGAAATCTATGTAGGGAAGTGCTGGTGGTGATTTGAAATAGGGTGCAAGCCGCGTTACTTCTGGATTTAGCTCATCTACACACGCTGCTTGAATTAGGCCAGGCTGTCATGAGGGACCGCCATGGCTCAGGTAGATTACGGACAATTTGCTTTTAAAGGTGTTTCACACGTGCAGCTGAATATGCGGCTAAGTCAATCAAAAATGCTCCTTTTACTGGTTCTGCTCCAGTACCGACATATCCTTTGAGCTTTAGTGAATGGAAAACAAAAAATACCTCTTATTTGTGAAGGAAAACTACTTTGTGCAGTAACAAAAGAGGTGTTAGATATGTGAATGAAGTGGCAAACATGTTTCAAATGTCAGTCTGTGAAAACTGTTGCAAAAGTCTTGGCTTTAAATGGTGGTTTGTTTGCCTGCCCCCCACCCCCACCCCAAATGTTCCTCTCATCTTTCTGCAGCAGCCATTACGGACATAGGTCTTTATTATCCAGAGTCATAGTAGTACTTTACCTTCTAAAGATGGAGTAGCACAATGTCTGAATGTCTCACAGGTCAAAAAACCACTTTCTCCAAAGATGTTCAGTAAAAGTAGAAAAACACACTTGAAGAGTGTGTGCTACTGTTGACTAATGCTTGTTTGGAATCTCAAGTGGAGACGATTGCAGCGTACAATGAAGTGCATTTGTTAACCCTTACAGATTTCTTGTTTTTTTTCTTTTTGTCCTTACAAAGATAAGCTGAGTAAACAAAGACGGGTTTTTTTAAAATAGGATTTTTTAATATTAAAACTAACCATGAAATAGGCTAAAAGGTTATGTGTGTTTCTATTGTCGGAACTTCAGGGTAATTTTTGCCAGTGGAGAATTGGAGGTAAGACAGCTCAGTCCTCTCAGCTGTTGTGTCTTCATACAAGTTCAGCCTTTTCAGGACTTTGCACATACATCAGTATATCAGCGGTGAGTGATGTCACTGCTCAGCGCCAAAAACCTGCCACAGTAACATTACTGGCATTAAAAGTTTTAAATTGTTGAAGTACAGCAACATGTATCCATTTGGGGGACGAGAGTAGCTGTGTGATGTAAAATGTGGCGTTCAATGACCGGAAGAAAGCTCAGTATTTTTATGGGACTTTGTGAGACAGCAAAGCCCCGTGAATTATGTTGTGGGGGAATTCCGCCATGTCTTTCAGTGTTTGGAGTTTAGTAACGGGAATTTTAAAGCAGCATTATTTTCTTTTGCTATCATTCTGCTTAACAAGCAACTCTCCCAATACCGATTGTTTTGTATGACGTCTGCTGATGTAATTTACTACTGAGTTACAACCAATCAGCATGAGTTAACCAAAAGGTATGCTCAGCAACTCTAATTTTGAGGACTTGCCCTTGATCAGGTACTCTGAAAGTTCCTGAAAATGGATTTAAAAAGTTTATTTTGTCTTCGTTGTGGATTAAAATTACTTAATTGTGAGACAAACGTTTACGGGTTTAAAGATGTTTATCTCATACCTGCAGCCCGCAAACGTTTGTCTTCCAAAAAAAATAATAAATAAAATAAAAGACAATTTAAGTTATTTCAAGTTCCTGAAAATGGCCCAGAAAACGGCGGTTTGGCTGGCCTGGTGAAATGGAAACATGTGCATGCCGGGAAGTTCTGGTAAAATTTCCCTCAAGTTCCGACGATTGAAATGCACCTAGAACATGTTCCTAAGCACTGCATTGCACTGCGCCCAACAACACAACGTTACAGAACAAGAGCATCACAGCAGTGGTCATACATAGTGGTGGTAGGGTGATGGGACAGATAAACAGGCGGCACATGTGGGATAAAAGGCCTCCACGGTAATGTTAACGACCCAGTCTTATAATCTTTTTTAGCTGTTTCAAAATAGTTCTCAGTGCTTTAAACTATGATTAAGCTGTTTTTAGCCTCAATTACACAACCTGTGCCATTTTCTAGTACTTAGTTTCTATATAGTGGCAGTAGCTCATTAATGTTTCACCTCTGGGTCAGAGAGGGAGAATCGGACAGGTGGAGGGAAGGAGGAGCTCAGAGCAGCAGACAGAGCAGGTGGATTACCTCTAAGCAACAATCCGGACCACTGAGATCATCATCAGCAAACGTGTTTGTTCATTCTGGGTAAAAAAAAAAGAGACCTTTATTTTTTTGTTGCTTAAAAGTCATTGACCTGCTCTGTCTGCCACTTTGAGCTCCTCCTTCACTCCACCTGCCTGATTCTCTCCTCCACGGCATGCTGCTTTGTCCTCTCTGGCCAACTCATGTGTGAGCGGGCTTGGTCCAACTTTTTTAACTAATTTGATGAAATATGTCAGCTTTGTGTTTTGGAGTTGTGTGCTGGCTGCCTGCTCTGCAGCAGAATCTTCCTGGAGCAGCAGCTTCACTCCTAGCCCTTATCAGATGACAGAGTTACTAATATTATCTCTCAGGCAGAATCTGACCACCCAACAGAAGAAGCTCATTTTGGCCCTTTTTTTACACAATTATAATCAGAGTTGTTTTCAGGAGTTCACCTTGTGGATATTGCGGTTGCTGCCCGTACACTCCTCCCCGGTACGCTCCTCCCTCGGCTCGACTCATCGGAGCCGTTCAAAAGGGACAACTCTCTCAGCTGCTCTTGTCTGATCTCATCATTGTAGTCCTGTGGAGACAAAACACAGCCTGTCTCATATATGGGGACAAAACAAAAACATTTGTCTCCTGGCAGCAACAGATGGTTTCAACAGCAGCCAGCGTCACCAACATAAAGCAATCCTGACACACAGGAAACTAAAGAACTGATTATGATTTTTGTCTTCATCAGGCGATTGTTGTTGTGGAGTATAAATATTCCTCAGAATAGCTTTTTTTTAAAAGTACTGCTGTAAATTAGCATAATGAAAATGAGGAATAATCATTTCTGGCAAGAGTTTTGACTTCAGTTTTAGACAAAGTTAGAATCAGATTATCAATCATTTTACTTATTAGAATATCATCAGATTGCAGAATATTTTTCCTTATTTTAAATCAATGGAAGGAAAAAGTTACATGTAGTGAGAAGCTGCATTAAAGGTGTGGTTGACTGAAAAAACATTATTTAATTATTATTTCTGATCATAATTGGTCACTCTGTTTTTCATACAGGCTGAACATGAAAATAGTCTCCTACACCTATCTCCTGCATTAGCTTCTGATAGACAATAGACAGTGAAATACTAGGGTTTGAAAATCCTCACATATCTATGTCACACTGCAAATTTGCATTCATGGCCTCGCCAATCTTGGCTCCCGCCCACCCACAAGAAGGCTTTTTAAAAAAGTAGAGGGAGCGGTGAGTATCTTGGTGATAGTGACTTTGCAATATGGTCTGAATGTGCTATGTTGGCCAATCAGAAGTGAGGTGTGTGCATATCATTAATAATAATGAGAAATCCTGCTGTTTTCAGCCTACATCTGCACCAGCAAACTTCTGCATCTCAGAAATGGCTCATTAGACATTGATTTACACTAGAGAACACTGCAAATGTATTGAATAAAGGAGTAAACCGCAGCTTTAAAAAAACTTGAAGCAGCACACTCTGTGTGTTTTTGACACTTTGAACAACGTTGGGGAAATTTGTTATGCTGTTTTTCTGCACTTTTTCCCTCAAACCTGTTATCAAATATGATGTGGATCATTACGGAGCAAGATAAGAGAGTGGACAAAGAGTATCCATTATCTTGTCATGGCTGACAGATAAACAGGCTTATTTCCCAGAAACACTTAAACCAGACGCAAAAGGTTCGGGAGGCAGCAACAGATTCCTCTTGCCGTCAGAGAACTTGAAAGACACATTAGTAATTTTTTCCTGCTTTTTAAAATTCATTTTTTGTTGCTTGGCTTAACATCACAGTGGCAATAATAAAACTCCTGAAGACACTGAATGTGTTTTTCTCCCCATTATACTATGATATTTTATGTAAGCTAATTACACAAAACAGTTTAAACATTTTTTTCTGTTTAAAAGCGAAGAGTGAGAAATTTATTTTTCAGAAAATGTGTGAAATGCAGCCTTCTTTCAGTGTTGTGAATTTCAACAGTCAGGTCTTCACGTTTATTTGTTGTTGAGCAATTCCAATTATACCTTGAGATCTTACTTGTTTGATGAGATCTGAAGTAGTTTTATTTGTATTTCTACGTTTTACTCTTTTTGAACAAATTTCTGAAGAGAAAAGTGTTTTTGAATGTTTTTTTCATTTTATTGCACTGAAGATTCAGAACATTAAATGACTTGTGCAAAGGTTTAGTGTAATACGCAGGCAAACATCAAACAACAGACATGAGTAAATGCATTTTGTTCTTGTTTAACAGATACTTTATAATGAACAGATTTATGAGATCTCAAGCTTTTGCACCTTGTTGTTATGAAGAAAAGGGGGAAAAGGAGAAAACCCACAAGGTAGAGCTTGAAAATATTTGTCAGGCTGCACATGTTCTCTCATTAAAGCAGCAGTGAGGCTGTACAGGGCGGTGGGTTGGGTTTGAAGGGTCTGGCAGAGCTCTTAATTGGGAAGCTGGCAGCTCATTCAAAGGACAACAAACCAGCCAGAGCTTGTCAAAGTTGACTGTTGACAGAGGTGTTAGTATGAGTATACAGAGATAAACCCCATGCTGAGGCTTCTCAGGGCAGACTTGTTTGCTCGCTGTGATTAATTCTCACCATGCATGACCTTGTACACTCTGGACGCCCCTCACAGAGCTAAAGTTAGACGTTAGCAGGTCAACACATGAAGTGTGGTGATGCCAACCACTCCTGGGTTCCAGGGCTGCCAACTCTAACGCACTGAGCGTGAGACACACGCATTTGGCCCTCTTCACAGGCTCTCACGCCATACCTCCAATATCTCACGCTAAACCAGCGCCTGCATGTGCTCCTTAAACGCGCATCACGCACAATGTGTAGGGCTTATGAAAAAAAAAACCAGATGATATTAAAGGGACTTCACTGAGTTTTGAATTTTTATGCTCGCGATTGCCCCCTCAGGCCAAAAGCGTAACGGCAGCTTCAATAGGAGGCTCGTGTACGAAGCGCGCATGCTCTACGTGCACACTCCTTAACGAAAATAACAGCTGAGACAGTCCCTTGTGTGTGTGTGTGTGTGTGGCCCGGAGGACAGAGGACAGGAGAACGTGCAGCTAATTAATTAAATAATTTGGTTCTGTACCTTTCTCTTCAGCACAGCCGACAAAGGTTTAAGATGGGTCAGTCTTCCTGGATGCTCAGATCATTCCCTTCCCTTGCTTGAAAAATTGTTCCAAAATGAAAGTTGAACCCATATCCTTTTCATCTGTGAATTCAATGCCGTTTGGTGAGTCTCAAATAAAAATTTGGGCATCTTACTGTAAAAAAAATATGCCATTAATGTAAAAAAGAAACTCTATAACAATTATTTTCACGTCCAGAATCAAACCAGAGTCTTCTGCACGAAAGCCCGAAGTCATACTAGGTGAGCTAGAGCGCCAGTGGCGTCTTCTGTATCTGTAACATTTATATCCTTGATCACAGCTGAAACAACGTTCAAAGAACGGTTCGGAGGGCTATGCGTGAGCGTGAACACGCATGAAGCAGCCTGCTCGACCCGAGCAGCTCTCTTTTTCTGTGATTTTACAGAAAAATAGTCAATCACAATAAAAATGCCAGGGCTCATTCTACAGGACCAGGGCATTGCAGGAGAATGTATGAAGAAGAAATGTATTATTTCTATACATGTTTTGGCTGTCAAACTTCCATAATGCCCCTTTAAATATAGCATTAGCTACTGAACAACATGCACACAAACAACACGGAGTAATAATTTAACTGGCGTTATTTGACACACAGAATTCTCCGAATCTGTGTAATCCAAGCCGATGTGCCCTTTTCCGCTCTGGTTGTGAGATGGGCGGAGCGGTGAGCTCCACCAGCTGTTGATGGGACGGGCATGCCCGGTTCTTTCTCCTAGAACCATGAACTGCAGCTGCACGCACCTCCAAAACGACATGCTTTATTTAGAAATGCAGCCGCGTCGTCAGCCGATGCTGACGGAGCTTCAGTCCCGAATGTTTTTCTTTTGTTTTCACTCATCAGCCACAGGTCCTTGCTCACAACAAGCTGGGCTTTCTACCGTGGTGACACTCACATGTTCCCTCTCCTACATTATAGTGGGTGACGCAGTGAATTAAAACATTAAGAATCATAACGTTTTAATGTGTTAATTCACCACTTCACCAGTGTGTTTTTCCTGTTGGTGAGACGAACCACTCCTCCATTACCAGGTTGCTGGTACGGAAGCCTGGAAAGGTCAAAATTCCTCAAACGTTTTTTCCCTACTGGCTGACATGTATTAATATAATAGAATAGAGTAATTTTTATTAGTCCCACAGTGGGAACATCCACTTTTTACAGCAGCACACACACTTAGAGAAACAGATTACAGGTAAAACTGATTCCAGCCATGTTTGCTTTGATAACGTCAATAACTTCATTCTGATAACCCACATGAACATAATCCTGTTTAGTGGATGCAACTACATCATGAAGTTAGCTTAACATGACAAATTTTTTTCTTGGCAGGAAATAATAACTGGTAATATTATGAATGACATGATATTGCCCACCCCTAGATGTAGTAGTAGGACTATTATTCCCAGGAGGCTTGGCGAGCCGCCATGTTGGTTCAAAGGCTATCTGGCGAATTAAGCGATTGTCTAACGCGGTTACTGGGAATCCCTTGTCTTCGTTATACATGATATCAGAAGCTACAAACTGTAAGTCTCCAGTCTGTTTTAAACTTCGGAGGATGCTTTTATTAATGTCGGAGGACAGAAGAGTGGCTGCGGGCTGTGTCAGGAGGAGTCAGCGGTGGGAAGTGAGCGCTGCGGTGGGGTCGCAGGAGGTGGAGGCATGCAGCAGGAGGATGCATCTGAAAGTTGGATCCTGAACGCGAGGAGAACAGGGATTTGCCAACCAGGATGGCGACGTCTGTGCAAATAACTCCCCCAGAGCCATTTGACTTTACATGCCCCTCAGACTGGCCGAAATGGATCAGACGATTTGAAAAGTTCAGACAGCCCTCGATGAAAAAAACGGAGGAATTTCAGGTGAATTCACTGTTATATGCCATGGGAAACGCATCTGATGATGTTTTCGCAGTTTTACCTCTGTCTGATACAGATAAAAAGAAATATGACACTATTAAATCAGCATTTGAACAACATTATGTGGGAAAACACAATGTTATTTTTGAAAGAGCACAGTTCAATTCAAGAAGACAACAAGAAGGAGAAAGTGCAGAGTCCTTCATCACAGCCGTACATAAGTTGGAAGAGAACTGTGGTTTTGGAATGCTTAAGGAGGAACTTATAAGAGACAGCATTGTGGTTGGCATTAAAGACAAAAAGTTGTCTGAACCGCTACAACTCGACTCAGATTTAACATTTGCTAAAGCCAAACCTAAGGTCAGACAGAGTGAAAATGTGAAGAAACGACAAACAATACTGCTCAGCAGTAGGCAAGAGGACAAAACTTCCAACATGGCCGCCATAAGGGCAAACATGAAGAAAACAAAGCCACAAACAGGACAACACTCAAAGAAAGGACAAGGACCAGACAGGCTACGTGCTAAAGAGTGTGGACGCTGCGG